TATATATATATATATATATATATATGAATATATACGTATGTATTATATACATGTACGAGAGCGCCATACGCTTCTCCCCGGCGCATCAATATTGAGCGATTAATTATTTATATTATGTGTATACACCGTATAATTAATTAAGCAAATGTTGGCACGCGACGCAATCGAAAACAATGTAACAATTAATCGAATAATTATGAGACGGTGAAATTACAAAACCGTAGAAACTCTTAATTGCGGTAGCGCTGTTTAACGAAGCGACCCCGACCGGCGAGGAGCGATTGTGTAAATTAAAGCGTCGACACAAGCCCGGACATCCCGGGCGCCGTCGAGAATATCATCTCACTATTTGCTGAATGAACGACGCGAAAGTCGTTACCACGAGACGTATTATTACTACAACTCAGAATGTATACTGTTTGCCGCGCCGGCGCTTAATAAATGACGCGCGTGCGGCAAACGGGACGAACTGCGTGCTGTTATAAATAGAAAATCCCGCGTATCTCGCGACTCTATGTTTTGCTCCATTAACTCTATCGCGCGGCCAATTTTATTGCGGATCGAGAATAGAAGCGGGCGCGCTCCGCAACGGAACGCAACAGTTGTATTAAACTCGGATGCGCGACAAGCGGCAGGTGCAGCTGTCATCTTTCGTACACAACGCGCGGAAACAGCTTTATTACGACGATAAGATCGGAGTAATAAGATCTCTTATGTGGAATTGTGCTCGAGATGGATCGGCAAGAAGACGCGCGCGAACAGCTGCATTTTCGAATGACTATAAATTCCGAAACCCCTCGAGACACACATACACGTACACATGGTCTCGCCTATCCGGGTCGCCGATCTAATGAGCTACGATGGCGCATCGGTTTTGAATAAGTCCGACATTAGAGGGACCCGTGGCGCGTAACGCGGAGATAAAGCGAGATCACGTTTTTGCATTCCCCGCGTGCGCGCGTTTACGCTCGTGGCGGAGAAGAGAGAACATGCGAAGGGTTGGTTAGCGCGTTGGAGATAGACAAGTGGAGAGAGAGAGTGGCGAAAAAGGACGAGACGGGAAGGGGGAGACAAAGGATAGATGCGGAGAGGAAGAGTGTGGCTCTGTTCCAGAGTAAGAACCCCTTTCATTCGACGTCAGTCCCTCCTGATACCGTATAAAATATAGTATTGTTCGCGCTCTGTTAGTCCAGAGTGGGACGAGTATATTTAGAAAAGGGGCGATTTTCTTTCATATGTTAAACAGATCAGTGTCGATGAGATATAGAGAGAAGGAGAAGAAGAAGCGAGGATAGCAAGAGAATCCTCTTCGCCTGGTTCTTTTTTTTCTCTTTTTTTTTTTTTTTTGACGTTCCGGTGTTAGCTGTTTGTTCATGAATTTTCACGTAGCTTGTGACGTGCAAGTGACAAACAATACTCGACGTTATTATATTTGAGGCAATGTTCATTTGAATGATGTCTTCGTTGTTAGTTTTTTTTATTTCTTTTTCGTCGAAAAATGGCAAAGAGGCAAATTGTGGTACGGGTGAAATTTTCAACAAACTTTTCTCGCAAACGTCTGAAAAGAGTCTTTAAATGTTTCGTTCCGAGATTTGTCTCGAAGCGCGAACTCTCTCTCTCTCTTTTTCTCTCTCTCGGCGTTTATACCGGAGACAATTGCAAAAGTTCTCACCGCAGCTGCCTCGTTCGCTAATATTAACTCACGACTCTTCCCGCGAAGAGCGCGTTGATCTTCGACATTTTCCGCGGCGCGGATTTCAACGGATCCGCGCGCGCTCGATGGAACGAAAATGTCGGGCGCGCGCGTTACGTGCTGTGTAATTCCGACGAGTTTACAGTAGAGATAAGTCAGAGTTGACTTTAGCCGGATTACTGGCGCTGCAGGGTCGGACGGGGAAAGAAGGAGGAGATGTAGGAGGCGCGGTCGGGGGAAAACGACCGCCTTACTATCCGACCGTTATTATAAAAGTCATAATGAAAATCTAACGATCCGCGCGGCCGCGACACCGGCGACTCCGCGCCGCGCTTCCGCACCGCGCGGAAAATGAATTTCACTCGCGACATCGCATTTAATCCCCTTATTTACTTTTGCTTTCAGAACACGTGCGGGAATTCAGCTGCGGAATGCTGTACTACAGGACGCTCTACTTGGACAGTAAGAGGGACGCTCTATACGTCGGTGCTATGTAAGTATAACTTTTTTCCCGGTTCCGTAATAAAATGTCACGGCATGAAAATCCCCGGGAAAAGTTGCGACGTTCCCTCGTCAAAGCCCCGAGGACAGCGGTATTACGTCAGCGGACGACGCGGCGGTTGTACGTGCATGTGTGTGTGTCCGTGTGACGTGCCACGTCGCGGATTTTTACGATTGCTGTGATTAAAATTCTAGTACGCGCGCGCGGAGCGAGAGATCGTGCCGTTTGATTGAATTTTCCGATGTCATCGAATAATCGGATAATCCGAACTTTGAGGGATTACCGTTACACATGTGGGAGAGATATCGGCTTTTGGGATAATAATTATCATCGTTGTAAGCGATAGAGAGCTATATGAAACGACACCTCGACGTTTTCGCGGGTTTTTAAAAGAGAGAACGGAAAATTTCACACAATATTTCACATTTTGTTATACGTAATGTTTAAACTCGCGCGCGCGCGTACAATTATATTTTTATTTGGTTCTCTCTACTTTTGTTATTATATTGTTTCTTATATAAAACCGCGGGTTTATTTACTGACCTGTTTTGCTTCGCGGATTATGATCAGAATCCTTTCACTCTAAATGTTTCACTTTGCGCAGAAAAGCAATTTACTCAGGACCTTTGAGCTCTCTTTCTCTCTTTCTCTCTCTTTGCAACGAGGAGAGAACGCGCGGAAAAGCAAATACATGATATAAATCGAAACTGACGATTTTCTTGATAATTATGACTCTCGTGGAAATGAAAAACACGTCGTGTCAATAAAGATTGAAGTTAATGAAGTTTCTGTTTTATCTTTTAAACTCACATAGCTCTTCACGGGAGATATTTTATCGCATTTAAATACAGTTTCTCAGTTTACATCTCGGCGTCTTGTCATCAATTTTTTACGCGATATTATACGGATTGCTAAATTTTCGTTTCTTACTATTTTTTTTTCGCGGATATTTTCTTCTTTATTTTATCAATAAATTTGTAGCTATTACACTTCAAAATTTTCAAAAAAAAAAAAAAAAAATATCTTCTTGCGCTCCGCGTTTCTTAATAGACCGTTAAATCGATCGATTGCTCGCTGTGTTCGCGTGAGAGTATCCGGTTATTATTTCTTCGACGAGAGATGACTGGTGGAAGGCTGAAGAGACCCGACTCTATGCTTCCCCCGAAGTCTCGATACAGATTGCGGACGGAGGAAGGTCGCATCATTATCTCGGCGGAGTATTATTTCTTGATTCGGTTCTAGAACCGCGCGCCACCCTTGGCGACCATCAGCTAACGTTCGCCGCTCCTCTCTCCGTCTCCCCCCCCCCCCGCGTCCTCCTCTTTTGTGTGTGGCCTCCCCTTCTCTTAATTTGGTAAATGCCAGCAAAATGCTACGAAGCCCCGGTAATGGAGACGCAGCAGGGATGGTCCTCCAATGCTCTCGCGGATACGGAGAAATCCCGAGCCAGACGCTTGTTTAATTCCTTTGTGAGACGAGGCGGATCGTCTTACGGAGATTCTCTTACAATTCCAGCTACAAATATGCGATTGTATATGTTTTTTTATTTGCGAGACGAGACGCGTTCGATTTGACTTTCGGCTGTGCTCCGAATATTCGAAATTTATTGCAATATAAACGTGGTAATAATATCTGCGTTTGTGTTACTTTGCAGAGAACAAAGCGTGACCGTCTTACAAACCATATAATGCACACATGAAACGTTAGAAATAACGCACGAAAAGCAAATTATTTGGCGATTTCCCAACGATTTGGGATTTTGTCGAACGATTTCGTTGCACGTGAAGTTGACGCGAGGCAACTACCGTGTCTCTTGAAATAACTAATAGTTGACACGGTTTAGTATTTATAACAAATGTGTGACATGGTTCAGTACTTATAACAAAAATAAGCTAACGGTCATCCGTGTTATGTCTTTTCTCTTTAGTTTTTGAGCACAGACATGAGAAATTAAATTGAATAAAATATGCGAATCGTGTTTTGCGTGACAGAAAACAAATAAATAAATTGAACGTACAAGAAGCTTCTGCTTTTAAATAAAATAAAACTTTGTGCGCTTTTCTCCTTTCTTTCTTTTTTTCTGTCTTTTTTAACGGAATGTGCTCGCCATATGAGGCGGTGAAAAAAACGCAGTTACGACAAATTGCATTTCTCAAGAAAAGCGGCTACTTCGAGTTTAAACTGTTTCCTGGCTTCGTTCCACGTGCTTGGATCGCGTGCTGTGTGTCGTATCGTTTATACGTAACTGTGCCTACAAAACTGCAGTATTGAATAGAATTCCGATCAGAAACTCTCGCGTAAAGGAAATCGCTTCGACGACGTTCCGCGTCAGTGACGACGACGAACGATTAAGCTCCGTGATTGCGAAAACGTAATTTTTAAGTTACGTTATGCGATCTTTCATACGTCGATCGGAATCACGTGACTCGCTCGCGCACGACGAGAATCTCGCGCGATTCTCTCTCTTCCCAACGTTCTTTCTCCGCGTTCTCTTCTTTATCGTTTTTTTCTTTTTTCGTTATCGCGCACAACGATCGATACAAGCGCGCGCGTGCATCGTTCCTCGTTAATTAGAAAGGTGATAGCCATTAATTGTAGTTTGAGAATCGGCAGCCGCGTTGTGGTTCGCTCCGCAATTAAGGTACGCTAATTGAACGCTTCCAATTATCAAGCCGGCGGCGGCCGCGCTCTCTCCGACGTACGAAAAAAAAATATCAGCCTGCTTATATCCCGCGTCGGCACGTCTGCCGCGCGTCTAGCCGGGATAAAAATTTGTCGATCACATATTTTCGTCTCGTTCGGCCGGTTCACCTTTTTATCCCTCTCGTGTCCTCCGTGAGACTTTCTATTGTGCTTCGGCGACAATTCGGACGGAAAAAGCGACTCTCGCAGACAGGGATTAACACGTCGCATGCAGTCGCGCGATCGGGTTTTTCCCCTAATTGTCTCCGGTAACCGTTGCCGGAAAACGCGTCGAGAGATTTCGCCGTTCTCTCTCTCTCTCTCTCTCTCCGCCGAACGGTCGTTGAAACAACCGTGGAAAAGCTCGAGGTGTAGCGCAGAAAAGTGAGTTACGGGAGTCGCGCGCTCGAACGACTCTCGCCGGGAGAGAGAAAGAGGTGAAAACGGCCACGAGCGTTTGCGGCGTTGTAGAACCAACCCCGGTGTGGCAATTGAGCTTTTCTCTCGGACACTTTCAACGATGTTAGCACTTCGGATGTCGTATATCGATTTGGCGGATTACTTCGGACTACTAGCCCGTGGTAAAATTGTATAGAAGAATTAGATTAGATCTTGCTAAATCGCGCGCGGTGTGTGCACCTCTCGTCCGTTTCCATATCGCGCGCGTTCTTTCCTTCTCTTTCTCTCTCGCGCGCGTGCGCTCACATTTCTTCTCTCGCGCGCGAACTTATTTCCCGCGTAGAATGACATATTATTAATGTCGGTGCTGCACTGCGGTTTTCTGAAATACGAAACGCGAAGGTATTCCCGTTGTGTATCCACCTCGTTGATTTATATCCGGAATTATTAAAATCGTTCTATTATGTTAAACCCGCATCCACTCGTGGAAAGATATATGTATGTACATATACTACATCTCCTTCCCGGGGGTAAATAGCACTGTGGCAAACGCGACTTTACCGGCTCGCGTCATGTATTCCCCCGAACCGGAATTCGCGGACGAAAGGGAGGCGAGGGACGGATCTTGACGCGCTCGGATAATGCACCCCGGGTCAGAGCTGTCCGTCACGCTCAACCACAAATTCAGACAACGACGCTTTTCGGATTTCGCCCGGCATTCGTGAAGCTCCTTCTCGCTCGCGGGTGAAAATGTCGGTATTACATGAGTAAAACCCCCGATATATATAACAACACGCGCGAAAGCGCACCGCGGTTGTTATTCCGGGTTGCGCGACCTATTTTGAACGGGAACGCGCGTCAGCACGTATGGTATTTCGCGCGCTCTCTTTCTCTCTCTTTCTTTTCCTCTCTTTTTCTTCCTTTTTTTTCTTTCTCTCGTTGTACGAAATTTCGCAAATACGATATAATAAATCCTTAATTAACTCTCCGTCCTTATTTTCGGAATTAGCGATAAAATCCTCCGCTTGAAAATTTTCACCCCGCGGTACAAGCCTGTCTTTAGTAGTTTAAGAAATTGCCGTACGATCTCGCGCAAACTGCTCGAGATTTTAATTAAACTTTCCACCGGAAGTCCTTAAGGCGATGTAAAATGTTAAATTGAACCGAATTCTTTCCTCCGATTTCCCGAGGTAACACTTTCTTTATTTCAGAAAATGTTCCACTTTTCGTGCAATCGTGTCAATGAGATCTTAATGAAACTTTCTTACGGAAATGGTTTTTAGCCGGAGCGAAGTAATTTCTCGGCTTGATTACGCACTACAATTTTATTTCGGCCGATCGAGGTTTTCGAGCGGCCCCCGGCTGTTGTCGATGATTTCGCGGCAATCCGTCGCTAATTTCTTTTGCACGTCCAGTTTTCCCTTCTATAAATTACTTTTCCTCTACGAATTTTTTCTTTCTGCAGGCACGAGCGACGCCGACATGCCGGCACGCAGACGATCTTCTCTTGCCGTTTCTCCTTCACCACCCTCCGCGCGTTTTCTTTCCACCTGCCGAGCCCTTTAAAAGTTCGCCGGGACGAAAGTTCGACGCGAACGGATTCCAAAGCGCGGATTTGTTTTTCCACGTTGGTATTTACTTTTTCACGGCGCGATGCACCGAATGAATGAAAAAGGAGAGTCGCTGAGGGATATAGGGTATCTCCTCCTCTCCCTTCAAGTTTCTCTCGCTCTCTTTTTCGCGTTCCTTCTCGTTTTTTTTTTTTTTTTTTTTTTTTTTGCATACTTTGTGATCCGCAGAGGGGGGTATAACTCCCGCGTGAAAATCTTCAAGGAGTCCATTGAATGAAAAAGGAGAGTCGCTGAGGGATATAGGGTATCTCCTCCTCTCCCTTCAAGTTTCTCTCGCTCTCTTTTTCGCGTTCCTTCTCGTTTTTNTTTTTTTTTTTTTTTTTTTTTTTTTTCAACGTTCCGCGCGTGCATTCCGTCTGACTGCGTATTTCTATTGAAAGGCGATGATGAATGGCTATTGGGATAAAGTTATGCGGCGCGCCGGCGTTAATGTTGCGAAACATTTGAAAACTGGGTAAATTCGATTTACGATCCGGCGCCCAGCGGCGCGTATACCTTTCACGTATGATCGAGCGCACTACCTCAGATTGCCGTGCGATAGTCGCCGGAAGAGATTTATATAAAAATCCTCACGGGGGAACTGTTTTGTGTGTTCTTTGCACTGTGAGGAGTGGCTGTTCCGTATTGATCAAATCGTATCAAATATCATTCTCCGAATATCGAAATACACAATTAACGTAACCGATTGATGCGAAATTGTATCTTATTCTTCTTTAACACGAGAGTGTGTCAAATCGTATCTTCATGTTGTATTTACTTCAATTTCTTTGTTCCTTTTTACCTTCGATACAATTTCAATTTGCGTCATTTTATGATGCGACTAAAATCGACGCCACGTCGGTTATCAAGCGAATAAATAAACAACAATGTAGAACTCGGCCACAGAGGAGCGACCTATCTCACTTCCCCCGCCGTTGGTTTCGTCCTCTTTGCACCCTCATAGAAATTCCGTGTCGTTTGCGAACGTTCGCCGAAGGGCCGTAAGCAAAGTGCCGCGTCGTTACACAACCGTACATAACCGTAGCGAGATAAGGTAGGGTCGAGTCACGGAGAGTAATGCATCTCTCGCAGAGACGTCGGGAATGAAAATTTACTCCCCTCCTTACCCTCTCTTACGACTCTTTCGTCTATCGCAACCACGCTTAATTCGGTCCCGTTACGCTAACACGAAACTTTCCTCTTTCTGCTTTCAGGGACAAGATCTTCAGGCTAAATCTCAGCAACATCAGTCATTCCAACTGCGAGGTGAGTTGTCCAAGAGCTTTTATACATTCCGTTCTCCGCGCTCGCCGCATATTTAGCGCTCTAAATATGCGGCGAGCGCAAGCCGTTTTATGTTTACATCGAGTCCAGGTTGGTAACAAACAAAATTGGACAGTCGCATTTAGCTTCGCGAAACGTAAATCTCTCTCTCGCATTTTAACGCGATAAGGCTTTTAGAAACAAGTCGGCGGAAACTTCGGGCGGAGTTTATAACTTTTGATTACGTAATATAAGATAAAACGCTCACCTTAAATACATGTACTGTTGCATATTCGAAATAATTACACCCAATGCGGAAGATAGTAACTTTTATACAACCGTCGTAAATTTAATACGCACCGTACATAATATTACTCTTCAGTGCTATAAAAACTGATACTATACAAACTCCTCGAGCATATTCCGCGCTGGAATGCCGCGTAAAGAATTCACTTCCAGAGCCGTCAAATCTCGGAGAAAGAACCCAGTCCGTCGCACGCTTTCTTTCACCCCCGTCTTTTCGTATCGATTAGCGTCAAACGTCACGTAATGTTTGGCCCTTCCGTACGAGAGAGCGATAAAACTAGGGCCCCTCCCGATCGTAACTCGGAAAGCGAACTCGTCCCCATAAAACTGTCAATCATGCATGGCCGAGCGAAGCGACACCGACGTCATTCGGACAGCTGACGCGTATCCACCTACCGGCTAAGCGATTCATTGTAGACGAGAACGGGTCGCACGTTGAATGAATGATTTTTCCACAAGCTCTTTCCCTCGCTCCCCTCGTGTAAATGCGCGCGGAGATCCGATTTAAAAGCTTGCAAAGTGCATTTACGTATCGCATGAGTGACGCCCGAGGCGCAAACAATCGTGGGCGCGTTTTGATTACAAAGCCGATGTCGCGGGAAGTGTGCTGGAGAGAGTATTTGGTTTTCTCTCCTTGAATCGATAATCTTCGGAGTTCCCTCGTTCTCACGTCTTTTAACATCTTTTTTTTTTTTTTTTTTTTTTTTT